CTTTCTTTGTTGGTTATTTCCCTCGCTGTGTAGAAGCTTTTTAATTTGATATAATCTCATTTGCTGATTCTTGATATTATTTCTTGTAAGTGGGGTTCTGCTCAGAAAGTTCTTGTCAGGCCGGAGATTTAGCTCAGTGGTTCCACTGCCTGCCTCGCAAGCGCAAGGTCCCAAGTTTGATCCTCGGTACCAGAAAAAAAAGAAAGTTCTTGCCTATGTCTATGAGTTTCACCTATCTTGTCTTCTAATAGGTTGTTGTCTGTTTTAATATTTAAATCTTTGACCCATTTTGATTTTAGTTTACTATGTGACAAGGTGTACGGGTCTAGATTCAGTCTTCTGCATGTCTATAGCCAATTTTCCCAGAACCATTTGCTAAAGAGGCTATCTTTCCTCCAGCACACGTTTTTGGCCCCTTTGTCAAAGATCAGGTGGCTGAGTCTGTCTGGGGTTGTTTCTGCATCCTTCTATTCTGTTCTGTTAATCCACATCTCTGTTTTGGTGCCAATACCATGCTGTTTTTAGCACTGTGGTTTTGAAATCAGGGCTTATGATGCTTCCTGCTTTGTTCTTGTTACCTAGAATTGCTTTTGCTATTCTAGATTTCTTATGGTTTCAAATAAATTTTAGTTTTTCTAGTTCTATAAGGAATGGTGTTGGTGTTTTGATTGGATTATATTAAATCTGTATATCACTTTGGGGTGTATGGCCATTTTGACAATATTGGTTCTGCCTATCCAGGAGCATAGGCTATCTTTCTATTTTCTGATATCCTCTTTGATCACCTTTTTCAAAGCTCTACAGTTTTCATGGTAGAGGCCTTTCCCTTTTCCTTGGTTAGGTTAATTTGTAATTATTTAGTTTTTCTTTTCTTTTTTAACAGTGAACCACATATCAGTTTATTGGCATCATTAATTTATGGTAAGTATACTTTTTTCTTTTTTTTTGGTACCAGGGATTGAACTTGGGTCCTTGCGCTTGTGCAGCAGGCGGCGAAACCACTGAGCTAAATCCCCGGCCCAGTATAATTTTTCTTAATGCTACTGTGAATGATATTGTTTTCCTAATTTCTTTCCCAATGAGTTCATTATTGGTGTCCAGGAACACTATTGATTTTTCTACTGATTTTGTATCCTGCTACATTGCTGAATTTGGTTATCAATTCTTGAAGTCTTTTGGAGTTTTTTTTTTTTTTTTGGTGTTCTATGAAAAGGATCATGTCATCTGCAAATAATGATAATTTGACTTCTTCCTTTTCTTTCTTTTTTTGGTACCAGGGATCGAACTTGGGACCTTGCGCTTCCGAAGCAGGTGGCAAAACCACTGAGCTAAATCCCCGGCCCTATAAATGGCTCTTATCAGATTGAAGAAAGTTCCTTCTATACCTATTTTCTTCAGAGTTTTTTTTTTTTCCCTCACGAATGGTATAATTCTCATGAAATTGGTGTTGGATTTTGTCAAAAGCTTTTCCTGCATCTATTGATATGATCATGTTGTTTTTGTCCTTGCATCTATTTTTAAAAATTTCATCTTCATTTTATTTAATTTTCTATTGGTACATGTTTTCCATACATAATGATCACATTCATCATAGAGAATTTGTACCTGTATATAATATTTCTTAATTCTATTTTCCCATTTCCCTCTCCTTCAACCCTTCTTCCCCTCACCATTTATAAAAGTTTTGCTTCCATTTCTCCTTCCATTCTTTTTAAAAAATCCCTTTTCCCTTTCTTCCCCTCCCCCTCCCTTGTTCCCTTTCCCATTTGAACAATTTCTTCCTCCTTCCCAATATCTATTGTCCTTGCTTCTGTTTATGTGATGTATTATATTTGTGGTTTGCATAT